AGTGGGGCCTGGCATTATTTAGGTTCTTTTGTGACCTGCTGGACAATAAGTGACTATTTAAAAACTGCATTTTGTATTTACTCGAGTTACCTCTATCTAATATTCAAATGTGTTTGATGATCTGAAAATTTAAGGTGGCCCAGGATGTGTTTCTAGTACCTGCTATAGCAAAACTAACTGGCCGCTTGATATTTATTGTAAAAACATAACACAGTATTATTTTCCAGTAAGAGAGACAGTATGAGTAATTTAACCTACTCTCCAACAGTGAGATTAACTGAGTGGACTGGATTGCTGCCATGTTACAGGTGCAGTTTTCATGATTAACCAAACAACAGCTTCTGCAGAACACTCATCATCTAGCTTCCTTTGTTTGGACAACCTTTGTTAACTTAAAATCAAACATCACTTCCAAGTAGTGGTCATTGTAACTTATATTTAACTTTGCAAAAGGGCCTGGCTTTATCAGCTTGCAGGAGTGCAAATAACAAGGGCTGCTTGGCTTTCAGACCATAGCTGATCTTTTCTGAGCACACTGCAAATGTGATAGGTATTACTACTCCTCTGCTTGACCTCATTACCAAAAAAGAGAGAGGGAGAAAAAACATCTGTTAAAGGAAATGGTTTGAAACTAGTGAGTATTTTATCGCCTCCAGGGTCTAGCTGTACAAAAAGCTCACCTAAAGCTTTCGCTCTGATATTCTGCACAGGCTCTTCAAGCAGCACACAACAGCAGTTTTTGCCCGCTTAACATTCATGTGCTCAAAGCTGATAAAAAGAAATGACAAACAGAAAATGTAAGCTGTGCTACACACCTCCAGACAACCAAGAGACAAAAAAATAAATGAATAAAATCTGCATTTTCTAAACTCCCGCGTATGGCTCTCTCATTGTAAAAATAAACCCAAAACAAGATAACAGGGTTTTACCAGCATTAAGATGCAAGACCATCTACACGCACATTTCAAAAGGTGGACAGTCCAACAGCTTCATGACACTTGTGTTCCAGTGAGCTGTTGTGTGTCTCCACAGTCCCATCACTTTTTCTCTTGTTCCCAGCTCCATCTGTCTGCCTGTTTACATATCTGAAATGTCTGTCTTCCTAATAAAGCCATGACATAGTGAAAGAAGACTCTGGCTACAAAGGACCAGAGAGGAGTGCTCCAATGTGTCTGGTTTGGGCTTTATGTGAAAGCACATATCGTTAGCTTCATAGCATAAGTGCCTAAGTCATTTTTTTGTGTTTTGTGTTTCAGACGGACAGGATGATGCAGCAGTGGTAGGGGAGTAAAGTTAGGCAAAAATCTCAATTTGACCAAAAAATGACTTAGGCACTTATGCTATGAAGCTAACGATATGTTGATATAAACAAGACCACAGATATCATTCTTGTGCTTGTCTGGATTGAATTTCATGATATTTTAACTTATTCGTGATCATTAAATCCATTACAGTTACATATCTATTTAGGGAAAAGCCAAGAAATTCAGCACTCAGCCTCTCCCTCACTGTGACCTCAGCTCTCCAGCGTATAGGGGGAACTTTGGAGTCACCATATTTGCCTCTCCTGATCTCTGCTGCATTGGCTGAGGGCAGCTGGGTACTTTATTCACATGCTGTGGGACAGTCAAAAGTCAAATCCTCTTTGAAATTCAGCGTCAGTGCTCTCTCACTGCATCCTGTTGTTTGCTTGCTGTGATCGGCTCTACAAAAGCAAATTTGACTTAGAAATATATCAGACCTAGTATGTAGTGCCAGGGTAAAAAAGCAGTTTTTTTTAGGCTTTTACTTTTTAACCATTTCTGTTTTAGCTTATAGTTAATATACATTAGTTCTAAACAAACAATTTTATTGGACAACAGGCAAGAGATATGGAGTCCTGGTGTAACCTATATATTACTAAAAAATATAACCCTTATACCAGGGGTGGGGAATTCCAGGCCTCAAGGGCCAGGTTTTAGATATCACCCTGAGTCAACACACCTGAATCAAATGATTAGTTCATTACCAGGCCTCTGGAGAATGTCAAGATATGTTGAGGAGGTAATTTAGCCAGCCCTTAGTTACAAAGGCCCTTGAGGCCTGGAGTTCCCCCACCCCTGCCTTATACAATGCATACATATTACTTTTAAGATTAGGCTTTGATAAAGGTCAAAGTTAGGGCTGGATCACATGAGCCGGAACCATCCTGGAGCCAGGGTCACTACTTTGGCAGCTGCTGGCCTTTCTGTCTGTTAGCTGTTAACATTTTTCCCAGTATTTCTCCAGGTCAGCCTAGACTGTTGTTATTATCCCTGCCACAACCCAAGACTTACATGCTAGTTACTATAATAAAAAAATAAAGGTTTGGGTACAATGTTATCTGCTTACCTAACTGCTTCTCAAAACTTTCTAGGGGGCCCGTTTCCTGCTGTTCTTCTTTCGTCTTATCTTCCTCCCCTCACAACCAACCAACCAACAAACCAAGCAGATGGCTGCTGCTCCCTAATCCTGGTTCTAGCTGAGTTTTCTTCCTGTTAAAAAGGAGGTTTTCCTTCCCACTGTCACCAAACGGGACAGTGGGAGGTTGTCTGATTGTTGGGGTTTTCTCTGTATTATTGTAGGGTCATTACCTTACAATATAAAGAGCCTTCAGAGGACTGTTATGATTTGGTGCAATTTAAACTGCAGGCAAGCAGGCCACCCGCAACCAGTGACAGATGGCTTCCCCTCCCTGAGTCTGGTTCTGCCAAAGCTTTCTTCCTGTTAAAAGGGAGTTTTTTCTTCCCACTGCCTTTGCCAGCACCACCAAGTGCTTGTTCACAGTGGATTTCAATTCAATTTCTCTTGAATATTGTAGTGTCCTTACCATACAATATAAAGCATGTTTCTGTGAAGTGGCACTCTATGTATAAAACTGAACTGAACTGAAGTTGTGATATAAACAGCCTCCAGAAAACCAATCATAAACTTGTATGCAGGACTGAGAATTTGCATCAGGTGTTTTCAAAAATGCTGTAAAAGAGATCACAAGGGCAGTGGAAGACAAGCAGCACACCATGCCCCTATTTCCTGTTTCACTTAAAATATTTGACACTATAGAACAACAGTATAACCGGACAATCAAAAAAAGTTTACAGAACATAGTCCGATACCTGATTCGGTTGCACTTGGTAAAGACCGGCACCTCAAACTTGACTCATTCATCAAAAACAAGACAAGGGTAGATTTCACAAAGTATTTCACTAAAGAAGCTAAAAGAAGGACCCATCCAAGGACCCAAGAAAACTGGAGCGGTGCTACATTAAAAGGGCGAGACAATCACTTCTGCCTGAAAGCATCTCTTCAAAAATATAAGAGCAAAAGTCATCTGCAGCCGACCTTGGAAGTAATCATCACAAATGTTACCAGGACGTGATAAAACGCAGGGATGTGTACATATTACACTGGTTTGGTTTGCATTGCCATAGTATGTTTACCTAAAAACGCTACCCTGCCACAGCTACACTCCAACCAGTGTCGAAATCAATCAAGTTACTTTCTTTTAGATGTGCTTTGTGGTATAGATGGTGAAGCCAACCAAAGTCTTTCCCATACAACTCTTCTCTGCAATTTAATACACAGCTAGTGTTTATGCTTTAAAAATATTTTTTGTTGAATCAGTATGTTAAACTTCAGCTTTTTATGAGGAATAACTACAGAGCAATATCTAAACCATTGGTGTCAAAAATAAGGCCCAGGGGGCCAGAATCAGTCTAGCAAATACTCCAACCTGGCCCACTGGACAACTTTGGAAAATGTAAAGGAGGGCATAGCATTTGGACTTTTAACTGTATTTCCATATATTTTCAGCCGCAGGGTTATGGCTGAATTCCAGTGGAATGACGGTAATAGATGTTCCAGCCATGTGTTCCAGCCCTAAACCTAACCTTATCCCTAACTGTAACCATAACCTTATTCCGAACCTTAACCAGCAGTTAAATGGCGTAAAGTAGTGTTTTCCAAAGCGATTTCAAGAAAATGAACGAACATGTGTAGATTGAGTCCAAACGGTTCTTATATGTTCTCCTTTTTCCGATGTCGTCATTTAGGAACGCGTTGGGTACCCAAAAGCATAAAATGTTGACGATTTGTCACCTGGCGTAAAATATTAAGCTTAGGGAGTGAGAATGTGTTGATATTTTACAGCTTTTCCTATTGATAGAGAACTCTCCTGTGGTCATTCATACCACACCAAAGTAAATTTGTAACAGATTAAAAAAGCAATTAAAATAAAGACATTTTTTCCCTCACTTTGTCTGAAAGGTGAAAAGTCACGCGGCTGCAGCCTTCTTTGTGCACCAGCTTAGTGATTTCACTATACATATTAATAACAATAACAAAGAGGAAGCAAGACACTTTTCACATCCTGTGTATATAAAAATGGAGTCACGGAAACATTTAAAAGGAAAAGAGTTTTACCCTGAAAACTTGTATCCTGCCCTCTGCTTTGAACTTCTTACTAATGTGTTTGCTACATAATTATGACCCGAGAAAAACTGATGGTATCCAGCAAGGACTTTGATATTACAAATTTGCATTTAAAGAGAGATGACACTATCACACCCTCTATCTTCTCTGTTTACTTTTCTGAGCCTTCTGCCCTGTAAATACTAAATGCAGCTGAACATTTAAACATTAGATTAATTAAAATGCGCTGAATTGCTATCTTCACATCCCTGTTGTGTTGATGTCAGAATTAAACTGTTGGGCTTCCTCATTCTCGGATGATTTCTTTAAAAAAAAAGGTAACAAGATCTGATTTGTTTCTTTATCCTGGTTTCTACTGGCAGCTGTTAAAAGCAGCAGGCTTTGCATAATGAGTCGGTCCCTGTGCCTGTGATCACCAGCATCTCAAACACACACACACACACACACACACACACACACACACACACACACACACACACACACACACACACACAGCTTTTATCACTGACCGGCTCGCTCCTGTCCGTACACAGACTAATGACTTTTCAGCAGCATTAATGGGCATATAAAGGACGAGGGACATCTACTTTAAACGGCTATGTAAAGCCGAGGAGCTGGGGCTTTGGTGTGAGGCTGCCTTCCAGCTTCTATGGGCTACGTTAGATTGATCGCAGATCAGATGCAGTCTTGTATTGAATGGGCTTACTGAACAGGATGGAAACCACCTCTCTGGAGAGAAATAGGAGAGAGAGGAGGGACAAGCTGCACAAGCATCCTGCATTATTGATTATCCAGCAGGGGAATTCCATGTTGAAGGTGAGAATGAAGGCACGCAGGGACACTACACAGCTAATTTCTTATCTCCAGACTGTAGCAGAGGTGGCGTTTGCAGTCCTTAGATTAGAGAGGTGCGCAGGGAAATAAGAGCATTGCCTTCTTTGCTACAGCTGCATTACACTGAGGCCCTGAAGGCTAATAAGCCTGTCAGTCAGATGTTTGCACCCTGAAGCGACAGGGCACTCTGTAGAAGCGAAGTTTGCAGACTCGTGGACTAGAGAGAAGAAAAAGCTCACCTTCAAAAGGACACCTTGGGAGCACAACGCCTTGGAGGACGGGACAGGAAGTGTCGTCAAGCCTTGAAAATGTTAAGTGTGTGGTAAAGAATTTGAGAGGCATGAATTCCTAATGACAAATGGGACTGTAATGAGATATAATGAATGCATAGCCAAACAGGCCAGAAGAGCGGACGATCTGTCTGTTCTGCTTTCCATTCAAAGCGAGGAGATGAAACCAACAGCACAGTCTTTAATTGGAATCCAGCCGTGAGCTGCTACAGTAGTTCCTCAGAGCCGCACCTGTGCACTGATATCTTACACCGCTGCGTTACTGTTTGCAGTGTAATCTTCTCAATGTAGCTTCAGCTCTGGCTGTGGTTCAAATGATGTTGACTGTACAGCGGTTACAGGAAATTACACTGAATGAAAAGGCGTGTGAACAAAGATCGGCAGCAGATTAAAATATGTGCAACGACAGGAAATGTAAGCAGTACAGTAAGCACAGGTTTTCTTTGAACCCCCTCCTTCCATAGCACTCTTCTCCCTAGGTGTCCTGTGTGCAGAAGGTAACAGGAAGTAAGGGTCTAAGACTTTAGTTCATTTCAAGTGATCCACAAATAGCCAGAAACAAATTTTTCTTCAGCTGTTTCTCTTTATTATTTTTTCATCCACATGTTATTGCTGTTAAGCTCCCTGCCACGTGTAATGTTGGGAAAAGCCTGATTTCTGTGTTTTGCCTGTACACCTGCAACTTTACACTCCCCCCCGTGACCTTGTGTGCTTTACCCCTCATCTCCATTTATATTCACTTCTACTCGCAGAAGGTGGCACTTTATTCGACACCATTAACAAAGCAACAGAAACCTTATAAACGTGAAGTTAAACAGCTACTGCTTTTCATCGTCCATCGTTCCGATTATTATCTCTAGCATTTTCTTCAACATTTTATGATTTCATTTATAAAATGTCAGACATTTAAAGTAACTCAGTTTATTGAATTTTTCAATCTGGTTTGATCTATGGTGGTACATTTTGGCATTTTCATTTCAACTTCATACAATTATTTCTTTTATAACTAAACTGTTGGGATGAGAGTGCAGTTTGATTCACTTTAAACTACTCGAGGTCCTTTTCTCTCGATTGAATGCCAACAATGTTCCCACCGTTTAGGTTAATTCACCCTGAAAACGAAAGCAGATTTGTTGGGTATTCAAGATTTGACAAAGATAGAAGCAAAGAAGAGAAAATCCATCTGCCAAGCTGTCTTTCTCCAAGGTCCTCTCTGATTCCCCAATTATCTTCCCATTCAGTATCTTGTAACAGACTCCCCACTCAGACGGGCGCAATCCATTACTTTCACGGTCATTAGCTTCATGTCGAGTTTCTCAAAAAGAAAATGCTTTTAATTCAAAAATCCCCTTTGGTTTTAAAGGATTGCATCCAAAACAAATCAATTGAATACACGGAATACCTGCAGACATTCCACTCATTTTCCCAGCAGTGCTTTAAGGCCCACGAAATGCAAGTAAGAAAAAAAACATTCTAAAACCCACTAACCTCTGAGAGTACAAAAACATAATGCACAGCGCTACACAGCTGTGCGCAGACCGCAACACATCATTTTCCATTTTTACTGACTTTCTTGTTCTTTTTTTTCCGCCCACCATTACCCGTCGGGTGTTCCTGCAGAAATCGAGGCTTCTCCCAACATCAAAATCACAAGCACTTGCATGGTCATCATGTATCTTTAGTTTGTACCACAGTGAACCATCATACAAAATAATCTTTTAACGTCGACTACTAGCAAAAATAAAACGTGTTCCCTCGTTGGCTTTGAATTCTACGCTAAATTGACTTTAACGGTGCAAGAGGTGCTACATGTATTCTGCTAAACATTCTAGTCACTAAAAAGTAAATTAGCTCATTATTTTATTACAAAAATACTAAATCTGTCCACAGGCTAATCAACTGTACAATAGAGTACTTTCCAGGAACTGGTATCAGCTACTGTGTGCCTGTACTGTGTCACAAGTGGGTGGAACGATTAAAGGCCCTGAAATAGAGCCCAGTGCAAACATAGGAGGGTCTGATAGTAAATATTAGATTAAAAGCTGATTGCAGAAGATGATGGAAGTTTTCCAGGAGATCAATAGCTCCTAGCTCCGCTGAGGGACGTTAGGGTCCTCCTGGCTGCTCTCCAGCAGCTCATCCTCAGAAAAGCTGATGTGAAGGCAGGTATCATTCATCGGGGAGAAGGGCAGCGGGTGGCCACAAGTGTCCGACTGTGAAGTGAGGGTGGGGGCTTCAGTGGGATACGACTCAGCGGCTGAGAGAACGGTTTCCCCCCTCTCCTCCACGGGACTGTTACAGCCACTGGAGGCTGTTAAAAATGTCCCACGGTCCCCGAACAGGTCGTCGTCGTCACGCAGGGGCGACAGCAGGGACTTGGTTTCGGAGCGCACGCCCGAGTCCTCGCTGGTGGAGCAGGAGCTGCTCTCGCCGTTGCTCAGGGAGTGGAAGTCACCGGATGACAGCGAGCTGGGGGTGATGTCAGGGAACGAGACGCTGCTGCTGCGGCTGGGGGCTGCGTCGTTAGAGGTGACCTCTGTGGGCGTAGGCGCAGCTGCGACCTCTGACCCTGGAGACAATGTCCTGCTAGCTCTCTTGCGGTTCACGGAAGGTGGAGGAGGGTCGAGTTTGGGGATTATCTGCCTGCACCTGTCGGTGAGAAAACAGAGGCACCGGTTAGTGAAGCCTTCAACCGGCTAACATGTTGAGAAATTCACAGTAGATTCATGAGCACATTTTCTGTTTTTTTTTTTTTATTTGCTTATTTATATTCAGCATAATTTTCTACATTATTAGTAGAAGAATGCACCTTGAGCCAGTTTTGCTCCATCAGTCACATTATACTCCATTAACCTGAGTGCACTGTGGTGTAAGCTGCTACTACACGACACAGTGACTCTGTCTCTGGCTCCCTGTTGTTCCGGCTGTCTAGGAACTTATCTACGTCCCACAGCTTCTCTGCGGGGGAAACGGAGGGACGGGCGAAGAAAAAGAGCCAAAGACTGCGGGAGGGGAAGCGTAAAGAAGCAAGGAAAAAGCTGCAGGCTTTCCCCCAACCAGAAATAGCTACATTGCTCACTCTGATTTTACCACCATAACATCATGACAAGCACCAGTGCTCACAACCACACTCAATTATAGGCATTCTCTTGGAAAATGATTCCTGACAAACATCCGATAACAAGCCTCACTTCCTCCCCGACTCCTCCCATTTACATTATAACTGTGGCTGCTAACTTCGTTCCCCCGAGAAATCTGGTCCGTGGGTGAATCCTGGGCTGAGTAATGAACTTATGTGACCTAATGATGTATTTGCCGTCTCCACACAAGGATGATGATGACAGCTACAGTAATGATGGGGAAAACATCTCCTGAGATAATTATCCACCATTTCCTACACTAACAAATGGAGCAGCACAACGTAGCACAGGAAGGTAAAAGTCAACCTGAACTCCACTGACTCCAAAGGCACAGGGGGGTATCATTAGTAAGCCAGTGTAGCTGTGGGGATTGCAATGCAGATGAAGAAAAATGTAGCAATGAAAGGGCCGGCATTCAAAGGTTGTGGTTCCCTGAGAATGGAGCCGACTGCTTTAGGATCCCTCGACTTTTCCTCAAAGGACAGCATGTGGTAACTTTTTTATTTTCAGTTAAATGTATTGGAAACTGTTTTTATGGACTGACGCAAAATGTGGCACCTGCATCAACGGTGGCCACAGGCTGAGTTTTAATGAGGTTAGCAGGTTAACATTTGTGGTTTTCCATGAAACGATGTTAAGAAATTTTTGGTGGAGACATTCATGTTTATACTCAAAGTAGCACACATAGTGAGCCCTAAAGGCAAATGAATCCACTTGATTCTTACTCATATTTAGCTTCTTTTTGGGCTGGTAGGTTCACTGTTCACGCACAATCTGCTCATTTAACGGTTTGACTCTGCAGCAGGTTTAAATGGTGTTATTTTTAAAGTGCTGCCAAGTTGTGGCTTGGATTCCAGCTGGATTGAGCATCAGGCTATTTTCTTTTCCTCTACTTTCTGTCACTATTTTGATTTAGCACTACTCTGGAAGACCAGGACATACAACTGGGATTGGGGTTGTCAACAGAACAGATACTGCTGATATCTTTCAATACCAAAATTCTGAAAATGTGACAGTACTTTTGTGTTTTTGCCTTAAGTACTGTAGCAGGCCTTTGTACTGAAGCTGTGAATCTTCTGGAACTGAACGAGATGAAATATGCCAGGAAGTGTTTTAGTTTATCCTCACTTGCTAAAGAAATAAAACAGGAACACACACAAGCACAGGATAAACTACACTTGGAAGATTGTGACTAGTACAGCTGCTGTAATTGCTTTGCCACGCTCATTAATAAGAAGGCTGGTATGGAAGTACTTAGTATTCGAGGTAGATGACCAACCAATTCGTCAACCAATTCGCCAAAGGCAAAATGTAAAAATGCTGTCATGTCATTGCAAGGGACGAGGAATGGTTCCAATACTTTAGCGAACCACTTAAAACAACTGACATTCAACAGCATCCAAAGTTAAGTCAGCTATAGTGCTGATTGGCTAAATTAAAGTAAATTATTGCTTCAATAAATGCTTAAACTAATGTTAATGTATATAACATTACAACTTCTAATATTAACATTTTAAATAAATACTCTGCCAACACCATGTCTGTATTTTAAAGTTACAGTGTGTAAAATCTCACCACTAGACGTCAGTAGATTTCTTTACCCTTCCCAATTCAAGAGCACAATCCTAGCTATGGTGGCCACCGTTTATTTGTATTGAGTGTCAGTCTGCTAACCCTTTCTGCTGTGAGCGAAACTTTGACATTTAGCAAATAAGCTCTCATACATTATGAGAATGTAATCAAGTTGTTTATCAGAGCGAAAGTGTGATTTGTAACATACATGAGCCTAACATTAGCTGGCATGACGTTAGCTTATAACCAGCTGTTGTTGCTGGATAAAACATGTATTATCCTTCACATCTTGAGTCTGAAGAGCTAATTTAAATTTTATTATTATGTAACATAACAGCTTTCATTCTATATTATGTAGAGCTACAGAGTGTTAGTGATTAAACAGTAGATACTTTAGCAAGAAAATACTGAAAATAGGTCACTGAACTTTAAAAATCCAATGCTCAGTTAGTCCCGTTAGGTGTACAGAATACAAGATGAGCTAAGGACTGGGGTCAGACTTTTGACTGTGAAATGGCCCACAGTAGCCCACAGTGATCAAGTCGTCCAGTGCTCATTATCCTATAAAGTTGTACAAAGTCAAGTGATTATTATGAGAGTACCTGCAATGACAGTACAAACACAGTTCAAAAGAGAACATGAGTGCTTACTTCTGGTGTATCATTTGATCAGCAATTAGATTCAGTTGATTTCACTGTGGATTTATCTTTTTTTCACAATGCAGCTGGAAAACTACTACTTCCACTACTTCTAAATTGAGGCAGGGCACAAAGACAAGCACAGTCACAATTCCCGGCTGATCCCAAGCTAACCAGCAGCAAATGACTCCTCAGCAATCTTCTACGCATCCAACTGGAATCTCATATAGGGTGTGATATTAAAACTAGTTTAGTTGTTGTGCATCTGCCAGCTGCTTTGGATTCCACCCCAGCTCCTCCCTTAGTGCTGTGTGTGACTTAATTGTCATATTGGTCAGTGACTGCCACTCGGATCTGTGCTGCAGGTCTTGCTGCTGCTATGGGAGGAATGTTCCCGGTTGGCCTTTCCACGTTTCATAAATGCTGATTAATGTAAATTAACTCTGATGTAAATACAGTTCTGTTTTGACTGTAGTGGTCCTGACTGAACTTGATTAATTACAAGATTTCTGATGGTTTCTTTAATAGCTGCTTGTCACACATGCAGCAGAACAGTACGTGAGACCTCTGGTGCTTTATGGCGGTGGATGGTCTTCTCAGATTCTCTCGGTAAATCAAAACATGCATGTGACAAAAACACATACTCACACTCTAAAATATCTCACAGAGCCGACTCTAACAGATCGAGTCTAAGACAGGTACATAAAGATGTGCCGCTCCTCCAGCCCTGCTCTGACAGTTTTACAGCTCAGGCCAAACCTCCACAGATAAAATAATACCACGTCTTGACAAGAACGTTTCCTCTCTTCTGGCAAAACCGGGAGAGACAAAACAATCCAACAAAAGGTGGAAAACAGAGACAAAAGTGCTGTGCATAAAACATTTGTGACTCATTGATTACCTCAATGCTAATGCGGCTTCTAAATTTGCAGAAGCACATTTGAATGTAAATAGAGGTTACGCAGTCATTAGCAGAGAAATCACTGGCGAGACCTACGCACGAGCCAGCGAACACCCACACTGTTCATCCACTGCATGCACAGCCTCATGCTTGTGCCACAGACACATGCTCCACATGCTGGTTACCATGAGTAATACTCACATAGAGGGAGGAGAAGGGGCAGAGAAGAGGAGGAAGAGGAAGAGAGGAAGGGGGCTTAGGCAGTGGCAGAGAGCTCCCCGGGCTCCCAGGGAGAAGCAGGTTGGTGCGGTAAACGATGAGAGGGATGGGGATGGGGACAGGGCGATGAAAGGCATGAGCTGGGGGGGTTTAAGGCAGTGGCTGATGATATCTCGTTAGGAAATGAGGGATGGTTAGAGGAAGAAGAGGATGAGCAGGAGCGGGTCCTCACACCTGTACCAAAGAGAGGCCACAATTAGACGACAGAGAGTCGGGGAGCTATGCATGTGGAAGGAATAACAGCTAAAAGGTTTTGGATTTGAACATTTCCATCATTGGTACCCTCCGTGGTAATATCTAATACCACACAGTAGCAGACAGGAATGGAGATATTCGGTCGAGCAGCTGGGTGTGGAAGTATTTTCCCCCATTCTAAACTCAGCTTCAACAAGTCAATAATAACTTCGGTGTTACATAAGGTGGAAACATGCACTTCCCTGACTAGAGCAAAGGTTTTTCCATCAGTCTGACTTGGTGCGTGGCGCTGAATACAGCTGCAAATGCCAGCAAGAGGTGAAAATCAGAGAGATAGTGCATTCAAAATGCTTTGTGGAAAATATGCATTTTACAAAAGTCACCTTTAGCTGACCTGAAATCCAAAGGTAGCATTGCAAAGTACTGCATGACCTCAATTCCAAAAAACCTGGAGTGTTGTGTAAAATGTAAATAAATACACAAAGCAAAGCTCTGCAAATCTCACAAACCCATATTTTACTTGCAATATAATGTGGAAAACATAACCAATGTTTAAAATGAGAAAATGTACCAATTTAAACAAAAAATAGGGTCATTCTGACGTTGATAGTAGCAACACGTCTTTTAAAAAAAGCTGTGAAGTTGGGAAGGTGCCATGTTCACCATGGTTTAACAATGCTCGATAAACATCTGGGAACTGAAAAGACCAGGTGCTGGACTTTTGGGAGAGGGATGTTGTCCCATTTTATTTGTGATATATGAATCTAACTGCTCAACAGTCCTGGGTCTTCTTTGTCATCATTTTTATTTCATAATGGACCAAATGTTTTAAATTAGTAAAAAGTCTGGACAGCAGGCAGGGCAGCACCTGGACTTTTCAACTACAAAGCTGTGCTGTTTAATAGCTGCAGTAAGCGGTTTAGG